CTTCTGCCGCTGCCTCAGGTAAGGAACGGCCTTCCGCCTCCATCGCCGCCCTGCCCCGGGCCCGGCCCTGGCCCTGGCCTTGGCCGAGGGGCGTCCGCTGGAGCCGCCCGCCCGGGGCGCTGCCCGCAGCCTCTCCCCGCGGCCGGCGGGGGGACAGCCCGCACCGGGGGGACTTGTCGGGGGAGAGGGGGGGACTCCCCCTTGAAATGCTCCGCCGCGGCGGGGGACAAAAGCGGGGCGGCAGCCACCATGTTTTCTCTCAAGCAGCCCAAACCCACCTTCAAGTCCTACCTTCTGCCGCTGCCTCAGGTAAGGAACGGCCTTCCGCCTCCATCGCCGCCCTGCCCCGGGCCCGGCCCTGGCCCTGGCCTTGGCCGAGGGGCGTCCGCCGGAGCCGCCCGCCCGGGGCGCTGCCCGCAGCCTCTCCCCGCGGCCGGCGGGGGGACAGCCCGCACCGGGGGGACTTGTGGGGGGAGAGGGGGGGACTCCCCCTTGAAATGCTCCGCCGCGGCGGGGAACAAAAGCGGGGCGGCCGGTGCGAGGTGCCTGGGAGCGGGCGTGTGCGGGGACGGGCCCGGGGGCACCGCTCGTGTCACAAAAAAAAAAGCCTCGTATCGGTTAAAACCGGACGGTGCGAGGTTGTTTTGGAAAGTTCAGGTGCTTTGGGCCTTTTGCGCGGGGCGGGGGGGTGTCGGCGTTACCCGCGGCCGCACTTTGGGGAGAAAACAGCCGGTTCCCGTCTGCTGGGCAGAGAACTGAGCTCTGCCCCGGCCGGCATTTCACATGGAAGCTTGGCTGGCGGCATACATGAGAAAATCAAGCGTATACATCAGGTATATACAGCAGAACACTATAGACAGTGCTTATAGTATCAAGCATATTTAATAGAACCACCAGGGTTTTTTGTGTGGTCTGCGTGTGCACTTGACAGAATGTGATTTTTCTTTATCTGTTTTAGATAGGGCAGGGCCTCTTCCAGCAACACGTTTGAAATGTTGACTCATTTTTGCTTTTTCACATTTTCTTGGTAAAAGTGAAATGTCGATGCAGCGTTGTTCTGGGTATTTCTTGTCCTGGGATATGCAATATCACTGTCAGTGTAGGAATTAAGGTTATTTCACTGAAGGTTCCGGTCTTTTTATAGAAGTATTTTTATTTTTAAGGATTGGAATTAAAATGCAGATAATCAAGTATGTGTTCTAGGCTATGTTTTTTGGAAATGTTTCTTATGTTGGAAGTAATGCATGTTAAAAGTTGTTCGAGAGTTCTGTGCAAACTTGAGTGTCCCCTACCTATGTAAAGCTTGTTGTAGGACATGAGCCTCTATGGAATGTTAAACCAAATTAGGTTTTGGTCATCCTGTGAGTTGTTATAGCCCAGGTTACACAATTAGCTAAACATTAGCACTTTAAATATTATATTATTCTTCTGGTACAAAACTAAATGTACACAAAACTTACTGTCTTCACAGAAAGCTATTGCTGTGATTGGATCCTAGCTCCTTAAGATCAGCTTTTTAAGTTAAAAGAAGAACTTTTTCTTTGCCCAAATAGATTGGACTTGTGTCTGATTGTAAAATTCTGATTCTTAAGAAAATTCTATTTTTTTTTTCCCCTCCAGGCTGAAGACCATACAGCTTCAGAACCAAGGATTAAAAAACTGGAACCGGTACTTCTGCCAGGTAGGTATAAATCAGGAACTGGACAGATACCTCAACAAGGCTATACTTAAGTCTTTTGTTTATTATAATAGAATTGGTAAAATGTGAATGGTTCTCCCTATTTTTCTGTGATTGTTGGTTTTGGTGTATTTTAATCTTGGTGTGCTCTTTGAGGAAATATAACTTCTAAGTGGGAAAATCTAATGATATTTGCATCTGTAGAAAATTGTTCTAACCTGCCTGAAGCAGTAAAAAACTACTCTAGGCAGTTTTGCCTGTGTAATGCTTTAGTATGTGTAGAATAATGTCTTGGTTTTATTGCAAGTATTTGAAATGAAGCTGTTGTAAATTTTGTAACATTTATTACACCTTTTGGAACACTAGTAGTAATTATATTTTTGTCAGGTAGTCAAACCTTCACCTGAGTGCAGAACCCTCTCACCATAGCATGTATTGTAGTCTTCCTGTATTTTAAAGGGAAATATTCATAGCATTTCTAGTAGGTAGGTACAATTGACTGGTGTATTGGAAAACATCTAATGCCATCTTTATTCATTTACTCATATTGAATATGCAGCTGTTACATAACTTTGGAAGTGTCTTTAAACCTAAGCAGAATAACCTTTTTAGGATGTGGATGAGAAAAGCAATGTTTTTATTATTGTTCATAATCACATATTGATAAAAATGTAGGATATTCCTGACTTGCCTATTTTAAGTAAGAAATAATTTTTGGTAAATGACATTTTGATCAATGAGGATTTCTAAAAGCCATTTTCAGATAACAGAGGAACAATCTGCTGTTCTCAATATTACTTTCATTGCAAACTGTACCTCACAGTAGTAAATTTGGCTTGCTATTTTTAAGGGTATTTTTGAGTTTTAAACAGAACAGTATACAGCATTTTTTTCTTAGCATTCAGCTTACATGTTAACAAATTTGAATTTACACATACATACTAATGTAGGAAGCGATTGCTGTCATGTTGTGTAAGTTGATAAATCATGTTAACTTTCGAAGTCATCAGTGAAATAAACAAGTTACTCTTAAAACTTATTTCTGTCACTACTTCATATGGGCCTGTTAATAATTGAGCAGTACTAATTGCTATGTGGTACGGTCCAGTGAGGTACCTTCAGCTTAAGAAGCTGAAATACTGTGGAAGAGGTTCAACTGAAAGACTGAAGTACAACTGACTGAAACTCTTCAGGAAACAAAATAATACAGATTTTGCTTGAGGCATAAATATCCTAAAATATATTGCTAAGATTGCTTGGTATTTGAAATACAGTTATATTTTTATGCTTGCAAAACTTCTGCTTACCACTTGGCATCTCACTGGTTATGTTGCAGTTGATATTCATCCAAGGTCTTTGACTCACAAGGAAGTGACTGCATGTTCTTCTCTGAGATGTTCCACAGAAAATGCAAGGCAGTACGAGACCGCTTTTCTCAAAATGTGACACATCTTGCCTTTACTGTGGCACATGTGCATCAGCAGTTAGAGAAAACAACTGTGCAGTAACTTTCTGCAGTGTGGTTGGTTCTTTGTTTGTGGAACTCTGAAGTACGCTTAAAATGGTGCTGACTGGGTTTGTTTTTCTCAACCAGCTTATATTTAGCCCACGTTTGCATCATTTCCCCTGTTTGCACTGTCTTTGAAGTAAGCATTTGATGGCTTTTGGGACATTTGTAGTAAGTTACCTCAGGTTATATTGAAACTGACTAAGAGAGTATGAATTTGCCAGAGAACTAAAATTTCCACCTCTGTCATTCTAAGGTGTTACTTTGAATTATTTAATAATAAAATTCACTTCTCAGCCACAGAATAGCTCTGACAACGACTTTTCATTTTTGTGTGCTTCAGTCCGGGTGAGAGATTTAGAAGTGACTTATTTTAAACTACTTAAATGGAACTTTTCCTGTTTAAAGTTAAGCACTGACCTATACGCATTTCTTTTGTTTCTGTCATCAAATGGTGCAGTAGAAAAGCGTATAAACAAGTACGCATTGTACTGTTGGATGGACTGGCTTTTGGATTTGTCATAACCCAAGTTTCTGGCCAAATGCCAACTCATTTAATTATATTAAAGCTGACTTGCACTCCCTTGCAAGTACGCTTTGAGTATGGTATTCCTAATATCCTGTCCTTAATAGTTGCATGAAATTGCTTTTTGCTCTCAGGAACAGAGTTAAACCTGCGCGGCTGAATGTTTATTATGCTTCTTTAATTGGTGGAACTTTTAAGGAGTTCTTTTGGAATTCAATTATATTAGCACAAGCAGTTGCTGGCTTTAGTAATCTTTGAAAACTGCAAATACTTGTATTAAACTTTTGATTCCCAAAACAGGGAGTAGTAAGCTACTCCCTACTTTGAAGGAGTACCTTACTAAAACTTGCAGCTAAATTAAGTAGCTAAATACCCTACTGTCTAACTTGTATTTCTGGGCAGTGGAAGTTAGGAGAGGGAGTTACAGACGTGCAAATAGTATGAGTCAGGTTACAAAATGAGGAGGGTTTTATTTAAAAAAAAAAAAAAAAATTAAAAAAGAATTGGAATTTATGTTGGAATCAACTTTGAACCTGTAGAGTTTGTTTTTAAAGTTTCCTCAGAGGAAAAGAGACTCATCTCTTCAGCTTTTGGAACAAATGCCTGTATTCTCCTGGAACTGTGTGCCCTCAGGAGGGTGGTGTATTAGGAGAAGCAGCAAACATTGCTTAAAGCAAGTAAAAACCTTGGTTGTAGGTGGCAACACTGATTCTGCAGTAGAGAAAAGCAAATAATTGTATAGAATTTGGTATAATTTAATTCCAAAACATGATAGAGAATTAAGATGGAGTTATAAACATGTTTTCTTTTTCTTTCTGCAGTTCTGTTTCTCCTAGCGTAGCTCTCTGAACAGGAGTTTTTGCAGAGTTAGTTGGAGAGTTGGCCTGTGTAACAGTTTCACTTTGTTTTCCTTTGTTTGTTTGCATAGCTTGTTTTATAAGCATGTCAAAGAGGAAAAATAGAGAAATAGCAGGTAGTCTACCAGTCAGTCTGTTGAAGTGCCTTGCCTGGCAAAGTAGGAAGTTAGCTTGTGTACTTTAGGGGTGAATTAAGTTAAAGTTGTTAAACTTGAAGGTATGCTTCGTTCTGGTAACCAATTGTAGCCTGTTTTCCACAACAACATCTGTAGCATTTTTCGAGACATCAACCTAAGCATTCAAAAAACATTGTTTGCTGTAGCTGGAATACAATGCCCTGTATGTTTTAGTGATGGGAATGGCAAAGCAGCGTGCAGGGGGGGCAGTCCCCTCTGTACCCTACTGCCAGCAGTGACACGCTGGGGGTTAGGCAAGACCAGGCGAAAGGGCCCTCGCTGCTGCTCAGGCAGGATGTTCTGCAGGAGATTGTCTAACTAATGGAACATCTGATTAAGCATGAGAAAAGGATTGTTCCTCCTGAATCTTAATACCCTCTTGCAGTAATTGTTTTAAAGTGTTGCTGAGTATACTAATTTGATAGGAGATTAAGTTACTGGTTGTTACCGGTAGGTTTTTACGAAACAGCTAGAAATGGTTTAGTTGATTTTGGGTTTAGAACTTTATACAGTAAAATTATAGAAGGAAACTGAATTAGAATTATATTTTTTTGTCTTTAACACTTGCTCCCTTTACTTTGAGGCAAGTTAAGGGAATATTGGTGGTGAACTGCTGCTGCAGAGCACTTATTCATAGTTTCTTGTCTGCAGCGTGTTTCGTGGTCAGGTCACAGAAGTTAGCTTCAGTGCCATCGTTGGCATGTGATGACACCCATGGTGGGTTTATAAACAGGGCCTAAGTATGGTGGGACTGGGCCAGATGTCACCTCCTGCTGCCGGTGGCTGCCGGCAGGCATGTAGGAAGAGGAAAGAACTGGACAAGCAGCACTCCCAGCTCTTGTTCTGCCCCCCTGCTCCTCCTGCATGTGGCACGGGGACTTTCCTCTTAGAGTAACATAATGGGGAGATCCCAGTGAGGAGTCATAGAAAGTAATGGGGAGATCCCAGTGAGGAGTCATAGAGAGAGTGCTGTCATATTTAACTCCTCTTGCTGGGTTTTTCTTACATTCCAATTGCTTTCTATAGCCATGTAGACTAGGATCACCTTCGAATTTATCCAATTGTTTTCTATAGCCATGTAGACTAGGATCACCTTCAGCCTCATCTGGTGAGGATTTCAGTAGTTTAATTATATGCTGTTACAAACTACCCTTATTTGTTTGTTCTGAACTTACCACCATCTAGTTTGTTTGGATAAATCCTCGTTCTTGTATGACATGGCAAACATCAAGCTGTATTCCTCCATCCCATGTGATTGGGGATTGTGTCATATGTCCACTCTGTTATGTTTCCCATTAGCTTAGTTGTCTTAGTTGCTCCTAAGAAGGAAGCTTTCTGTACTTTTAATCATCCTTTTGATTACCTCTGAACATTTTCCAGTTGTCCTGTGCTCTTGTGGAGGTGGAATTACATGTTGTGTTCGAGATTTTTGCCCCTGGATCTATTTGGCTTTTATCTAGTAATGCCAATCTAACTGGCTTTGCCACCTGCTTCTGGGTTTTGGTTTGCATTTTTGTATACGTGTGCCTTAGACAGGCAACTGGTGGTAGAAATTTAGTTGTGGGAGATTTTTAAGCCTGTATCATGGAAAGTTGTTGTGTTTTTTTTCAAAGTGTCTGATTCTTCCAGCTCGTTTTCTATTTTTTTCCCTGATTTCTGCAAATCCTTACTACATTAAGTCATGTGTTCCAGAGCAGCTGCAGCACATCTTGTGATAGGAGGAGGAAAGAAACTTTTTGGTGAGACAGTCTTGTGTGCTAGTACCCCAGGTACGTTTGCTGCTGACTGCTTTGAACCCCTGTGCCTCTTGCTTGGCTTTTCCCTTGGTCTGGGGTGTCCCCGAGCTGGGGAGCAGAGCCCAGGGTGCTGCAGGGTGAGTGTGGGGTGCCAGTGCTGTGGCTGGGGAGGCAGAGGGTGAGAAATAGGGACCCAGAGAT